TGTGTTGTTTATCAGCACATGGTGTGTTGTCAGTGCTGAATTTTAACCGCCACCTAATATACACATTAAAGACAAAATAAATGTTATATTCCCTCCGTCCCATTGAAAGGTTACCATTTTCCATTTTTGTTCGTCCCAAAACAAGGTTATTATTTCCTAGTTTAGTAATTGTACTACCTAGCTAATATAATAAATACCCTTTCAATTTACAATAATTACACAAATGTCATTAATTTTATATTACACCATACTAATAGGGGTATTTTTGTCTTTTTTACTACAATCCAATATAATACTAATATTAAAAAATCGACGTGTAAAAAGCAAACGTCACCCTTCCAACAAGACGGAGGAAATATTAAAAAAGTAACACGAACTGTTATTAAAATAAAATATTTATTAAATTTTGTGTAAAAAAAAATGTATATTTTTCAAGCGGACCAAAGGAGATTACATTTATCTTTTATGTCATTGTATTTAACATTAAATATATCCTTATATTTGTATAAATTTTTATACAAATGTCATTACATTAATATTGTAAAACACTAATACAAGTATTTTTGTTATTTTTCTTTAATTTGTATTACGTTTAATATAATAGTTAATATTCAAATATTAACACCTAAAAGATAAATGTGAACAAAACTAATGTAATATTATATTTTATTAGAAAAACAAGTCTTTTATTAAATATTTTTTAAAAAATAACTTTAATAAATAATGTCAAAAAAAATAAAAAATGTATATCTAAATAAAGTAAAGATTATACCATGTAGAGAACCTTGCCAAAAGTTAACAAACAAAACAAGATAGAGATAATTAATAAATACATATTTTAGTAATTATAAAATGAAGGGACAACAAAATCAAGTACATTGACCATAATTTTGTTTTGTTTAAAAGACAAATCCTCCGTTCTAATAAAAAAAATATCCATTTATTTTCTTACATTTAGTTTTAAAAAATTAGTATTATATTAAAATATAATAGAAATAAAGTAAAAATAACTAAAATAATCTTATTAGTATGTGTGATATAAAAGTAATGACATTTGTATAATACTATATTGTAAGTTGTAAGGGTATTTGTAATGTTAGGTAGATCAGTTACTTAAAAAAAAGAAATTAATATTTTATTATGGGACGGACTAAAATAAAAAAAATAAATACTTTATTATGGAACGGAGGGAGTAATAATAATAATAATAATAATAATAATAATAATAATAATAATTTAATTTAATTTAATATGTCCCAAATAGTATTAACCAGTCAACAAAACAAGCGTTTGTGGGTTTGGTTCAATGTATTATGATATTCTAAAGATACAAAAATATGTTTGTTTTGTGTTTGGGTATGAAGGGAAAAAAAAAATAAAATTATATGAGATATATGAAATTGAGTAAATAATATAGAAATAATGAGTGTGTGTAATATATTATTCATTCCATTCGTCTTTAAGGGTTACATTTACTTTTTACGTCATTATACTTAACACTAAAAATATCATTATATTTGTATAATTTTATGTACAAATGTCCTTCTATTAGCATTATAAGACACTAATTGAAGTATTTTTTTATTATTTTTTTTATTTTTACTACATCTTGATATAATAATTAATATTCAAATATCAACACACAAAAAATTAAATAAGATCATTGCAGCCGAATGAAGGTAGTAATATTTTTGAAAGAATATGTTGGATACGTTTGAGAAAAAGAATACAATAATGTAAGCATATGTTCTTTTAGTGTATGTTTATTTGTGAAATTTTATTTTGGTTTTACTATTTTAAATGATTTATTTTTAAAAAATATCAAGGTAAATATTTATTTTTATTTATTATATTATAATAAAATTTAATTTTTACATTCAAATATTATATCAATATATATTTATATTACATCAACAATTCTATATTGCATCAATATATTTATATCACACACCCTTAACAATTTTTTATTTTTTTATATAAATATCATATAAAAATAATGTATTTTAATTGGATATTATAAAGTGAATTTTGTATATTAAAAATAATAATAATAATAATAATAATAATAATAATAATAATAATAATAATAATAATAATAATAATAACTACTCCTTAGTCAAATAGACGTTTAACCTTATATATAAAACATTATGTTTAAATACTTTTTATCCATCAAAATATAATAATAATAATAATAATTTCATTGCCATTATAATTTACATACATTATATTAAATTGATTTTTTTTTTATGAATTCCCATAAATATCCCATGTAATTTTTAATTTTAAATTATAATTTTTATTATTTTTTTTTCTAAGCATATATATATAAGTTTTTAGATGAATAATATATATATAAGTTTTATTAAGTATTATGTATTTAGTAAGAATTTTGAAGTATATTAGTGAAAATAATTATAATTTAATAAAAATAATTATAAATTAAGATGATTAAATAGTTTAATTAAAATAATTATTTTTTTTTATAAATTACGGATTTTAAAATGGGATTAAAATGTATAATTATATTTTAAAAAAAAATAACAAATTATATAGAATATACCAAAAATATAAAGAGTAAACAAATTAAATGAATCGAGTATAATATTTTAAATATTAAAAGATCATTTAAATACGTATAATCAAAAAAGTCTTTAATTATTTGTTTGGTTCCAGTCATTTTATATTATATTTTGTGATATTCAAACATTCAAATTTAATAAATCGAATAAATTAATAGATTGAGTATCCGCCGCCGTGTAATAATATATATTGCCATAGATTTACAAGGATTTTCAGCTGATTTTTTTCTTTCTTTTTTTTGTCTTAGTTTAAAGGAAAGTAATAATTACTCATCCGTCTCAATACATTTATTTATCATTTTTACTCATTTTAAAATAATAGTTTTATTTTCATAAATAATTATATCACTATAGAACTATCATTACTTTTCCATTACTATTACACAATTGCCACTATTTTTTACACTAATACACTCACAATGACAAAAAAGTCATTTACCCGTAATTTTTACACACTATCAATATTCCTTAAATCTTCCGTCAAACACAACCCAAACTATAATTTTGGGACGGAGGGAGTATTTGTTTTGTTCAACATAAAGTGTTTATTTTATTTATTCACCTTATATAATTTGTTATCTATTTTTTTAAAATATAATTATAAATTTTAATTATATTTTAAATTTATATTTTTTTAATTATTTAATTATTTTAATATTAATTTATATAATTATTTTTTTATACAATAATTATTTTTATTAATATATTTTTTTAATTACTTACTTAGTTATCCTTTATTTAAGTTATGTGGTAACATGGAGTATTACAATGGTTTAGTTTATATTTATAATTTTTTATTTAAATAAAATAATATTATATTCAATAAAAATTGTGAAATTGCATGGTAAATTAAAAATATATATACATCTTAAAAGAAAAAGGCTTAAAAGATACACTCTTCTTCGATACGTTAGAATGTACTCTCTCCGTCCCATAATTAGATATTCATTTGTTTTGTGCACGTAATTTTAAAAATATTAATATTATATTGAGATGTGGTATAAATAAAATAAAAATGACTAAAATAACCTTATTAGTATGTGTGATATAAAAGTAATGGTATTTGTATAATATATTGTAAATTGTAAGGATATTTGTAAAGTTAGATAGATAGTACAATTATTAAAAAATGAAATTGATACTTTGTTATGAGACATACTAAAATAAAAAAAATTGATACTTTATTATGGGACGAAGGAAGTATACGTTTATCTTTCAAATAAATAATATCAGTAATTATGATTTGAAATAAAATATTATTTAAATTTTTTGTATAAATAATATTTTGTGTGAACAAATAATATACTTTTATTAAAAATCAAACGAACGAAAACATTGTTAATTTTATAAATACTTACAACAATGTTTTTATATGATACAAGAACAAAATAAAATTTGTATATAATACCTTCAATAATGATTAAGTTACAATGTTTATTAAATAAAAGATGTTACAAAAAATAAATAAGTACTTATTAAATTAATATATTTCATTTATAATATTATTAATGTATTTGATTTTAATTTTAAATAAAAATTAATACTACACCACGATCTCTAATAAAACTAGCCCATCTCTCTTTGGATGTATTAATTAGTTTGCTAAATTACACAAAATTTACCTGTAATTTTATAAAATTGCGTCAAATTCCTTATATTTCTAAAATTATAAATATATTCATTTTTTTATATTTAGTTTTAAAAAATAGTAAATATACCCAAAAATAATATTTTTTTTTCAAATTTTAAAAGTTTATTTTACTGTTTTTTTTAGGCTAAATATAAGAAAAATAAATATATTTGTAATTTTAGAGGTTTAGAAATTGAGATTCTAAAATTTATTTGCAATTTGTGTGTATTTAGGTCAAATCCCATTAAATAAAGACCGCCGAGAGGTTTAGGCGCAGACTTTATGAAATCAAATGAAGTTTGACGTAATTTTAAAAGTATGGAGGATTTGACGCAATTTCGTGAAATTACGGATAAATTTTGTGCAATTTAACCTAATTTATTTTTTGTAGATATTTTGAAATATTTGTATTATTATTATGTATATAACACAAGAGGGCATGAATGTATAATTTTACTCTTATAGATGTTTCGTAATATAGTTGAATTATGATAATGTTATTACAATGTCAAGTGTAAAAAAATTTATAAAATATTTGTAAAGAATTACAATTACTTAGGAAAAATAAAAAAATAAAAATGTTTGTAAGTGTTGAGTGTAGAAATTTGAAATTGGAGTTTGGGTCGAAAACAACAAAGTAAAGTGAGTCCAATGGTGAGCCCGATCGGATTTGTGGGACCGAACTACGGCAATGAATCTTTGGAATCGAACGGTTGTGGAGATAACCAATCAGTCGGTTGATTGTTAAAAAAGTTTGTCCGACTCAGGATTGTGTAATAAGTGGACTGTCGAGAAAAGTCATTATTTTGAATATATAAATATATATATATCACATTTAAATGTGACGAGAATGAAGGCACTAAACATAATCTAATGGAGCAACAATTTTCCGGCGTGGCGGTAGCGGTGGTGCCGCTACCGGCGCAGGGCCATCTCAACCAGCTCCTCCACCTCTCCCGCCGCATCTCCGCCCGCGGCATCACCGTCTACTTCCTCGCCACCGCCACCCACTCCCGCCAGGCCAAGCTTCGCGCCGCCCACGCCGGCGGCGGCGCCGCCCACGCCGCCAATTTCCATTTCCACGAGTTCCCGGCGATCCCCCACCAAAACCCTCCCCCCAACCCCTCCGGCCCCACCAAATTTCCGTCGCAAATCGTGCCGGCGCTTACCGCCGCCACTCTTCTCCGGCGGCCGGTGTTCGAATTTCTGCAGAACCTTTCTAGAAACTTCCGGAAAGTCGTCGTCATTTATGACGCCCTGATGACGTACGTGGTCCAGGACCTCGGTGAAATTCCCAACGCTGAATGCTACGTTTTCCGGAGCATCTCCGCCTTCACCGACTGCGCGTGGAACGCCGGAGCTCTGCCGGAATTTCCCGACGGCGGCGGCGCCGCCGTCAAAGAAGTCCCGTCGATGGACGGATACTACTCGCCGGAGTTCGGAGAATTTCTTGAACTCCAAAACGGCGCCAAGACAATTTCCGTCGTCGGAGAAATTTATAATTCTAACGCCGTTATCGAAGGTCCGTTTCTTGAATTTCTCCGAAAATGGAAATTTGGCGGCGGGATTTGGGGGTTAGGACCGTTTCATCCTTGGTCAAGTCAACTCAGGAATCTCCGAAATTCCGACACGTGTTTATCGTGGCTGGACAAACAGGCGGCGCCGGAATCTGTAATCTACGTTTCGTTCGGTACGACGGTGACGTTTTCCGACGAGCAAATCCGGGAAATCGCCGCCGGGCTGCGGCAGAGCGGGCAGAGTTTTTTGTGGGCTCTCCGGGACGCCGACAGAGGAGATATATTTTCCGGCGAGGAGAGGCGGGCGGCGCTGCCGGAGGGGTTCGAGCATTTGGTAGGGGAGAAGGGTCTTGTGGTCCGGGACTGGGTTCCTCAGGTGGAGGTCCTGGCCCACCGGTCGACCGGCGGGTTTTTGAGCCACTGCGGGTGGAATTCGTGCGTGGAGAGCATCACCGCCGGCGTGCCGATGCTGACGTGGCCGGCACATTCCGACCAGCCGGGGAACGCCGTGCTGGTGACGAAGGTGTTGGGGGTTGGGGTGGAGTTGAAGGCCTGGACCCGCCGGGAGGAGCTGGTCCCGGCTGCGGCGGTGGAGAGGGCGGTCAGGGAGTTGATGGGATCTGACGGCGGAGATTTGCTGCGGAGAAGGGCGGCGGAATTGGGAAAGGCTGTGAGGGAATCTGCCGTGGGGGGTGAGGATATGGAGCTGTTTGTTCGACGTATTACCACGCTTTAATGATTGTACCTTATGCAGTTTTAGTTGTACGTTATGCTTGTGTAGTTGTACCTGTAATGGGCATGACTGTTCGACGTATTACAACGATTTAATTACTGTACCTTATGCCTTTCTAGTTGTACATTATGCTTGTGTAGTTGTACCCTGTAATAGGCATAGACTATTCGTACTACAACGCTTAAATGACTGTACCTTATTCTTTTCTAGTTGTATGTTATGCATTTGTAGTTGTACCCGTAATGGGCAGACTGTTCGTCGTATTACAACGCTTTAATGACTGTACCTTGTGCTTTTGTGCTTGTACCTTCTGTATATAGAAAGACCTGTTGGGCTGGATATTCTTTTCGGCCCAACTATTAATAAGCAAATAATTAGTGCTAATTATTGACTTTGGATTACTTAGGTCTATTAGTTTAAAATGATTAATTATTTTAAATTAAATTAATACTATAATTGAATTTTAAATATATCCTAAGTATTAACTAGTCAACAAAACAAGTGATTGTGGTTTTGGTTCAATGTATTATGATATTTTAAAGATAAAACAAAACAAATAAAAATAAAATTTCAATAAAATATGCGTCCCTTTTCAAATAGTCCTTTTTGGATTTCAAAGTAGAATAAGAAGTAATGATATTTATTGATCGGTGGAAGTATGTAAGAGATTTTGATATTTTTGTTCTTAGATTTTTTGGTATGAAGTAATTATATGTATAATAGTGTGTTTGTAATTTAGACAAAAGTTAATGGTATTTTGGTATTAATGTATAATTATTTTTTAAAAAATAAGAAATTGATAATTTGAAATGAGACGGACGAAAATGGTAAAAATATTATTTAAATTGGGACTAGATTTTCTTGGATTTGAATTTTTCGAATAGTAAAAGTTTGAATATGAATAGTTATTTGATATGATATTTTGAATATAAAATTAATTTTTAGTATAATATAAAAAATAAAAATAATAATTTAATTTAATAATTAAAAAAAAAACTAAATAGTAAAAATATGAGTAAAAATCCAAAAAAAAACACAACATCACTTTCTTTATTTGTGAAATTTGCTTTGTTTTTCTGAGTTTTGAATTAAACAAACATTAAATTGATTATTTTCATTGTATTACATAATTTGAATACTTTGAAGAAAATAATTTTGTTAAAAAGAAATTCTAAGGCGAATGATCCCTGAGTTCATGCATTTTAAACTTTTATTATATATTACTCTCTCCGTCCCAGATACCGTGTCTGCTACACTGGAGATACAGTATTTTAGGTATTTTACGAGGGATGTAATTAGTAGATAATTAAGAATGTATTAGCGAAAATAATTATTCTATAAGATAAATAATTATAAATTAAGATTAAGATAACTAATTAGTTTAATTAAAATTAAAAAATAAAATTTAAAATGAGATTAAAGTGTGTAATCATTTTCCAAAAAAGAAAAGTGACGTGGTATGTGGGACGGACAGAAATGGCAAGGTGGACATGGTATCTGATACGGAGGGAGTAGTATTTTGTATTTTACTATATATTTTTTATAAAATATATTTCTACTAGTCCGGTCTAATATATCTATTTAATTTTTGTAGTAGATTAAATAATATTTCATCTGTCTCAGCTATGGTGTTCACTTTACCGTAGATACAATAATTTTAAAAAGGTATAATTAGTAAATAATAAAGAATATTAGTAAAAATAATTATAAATTAAGATTAACATAACTATTTAGTTTAATTAATATTAAAAAATTTAAAATTTAAAATGAGATTAAAATATATAATTCTTTTAAAAAAAAAAAAACAGAATAAGTGAAACAAACGAAAATAAAAAGATGGATACAAGTGGGGCGGAAAGAGTAGTATTTTATTGGTTTGTATAAGTGGGACAAACGAAAATATAGAGAATGTGTTTGTTTTATGAAATTGTTGAAAATAAAAAATTTTATTTGAAGTATAAACAATTGTATAGATACAATAAAAATAATGAATATTTATAATATATATATTTTTTTAGAAAACTGTATCAGAGAATATAAGTGAAAAAACAAAAGGGTTTAGATATTAAATTAAAATTTTGATCAGTAATATTTAAATAAAATAATTGTGTGATATAATATAAAAAATTATTAATTTAATACTTCAAACATAAACTTAATTTTTATTTGATATAGAAAAATATTTAAAAATAATAATAGTAAAAACTTGGGAAAAAATTATAAACAAAATTAGGGTTTATTTATTTAGCATTTTGATTGGAATTTTTATATAATTTTTTATTAAAAAAACGAAAAGATATATATTGAAAATTATGTATATGTTGATGTATTTTTTCAACAATAAAAAAGATAAAATCTGAAAATAAAAAATTATCTTCGAATTTGATATAATTAGTGCATAAGATTAGGAATCTTTAAACACTAAAGGATATATAAATAAATTGGAAAATAAAACTAAAGACTGGAAAATTAAATGATGATCCCGAATCACTTTGTTGTTGTTCGAAGATGATTGAAGATGACCTGCCAGTTGCTGACCCCAATCTTTAAATATTTCTCAGAAGAGATGTTTCGAAACCGTGCCAGCAACCGCCGTCAACCGTCCACAACGAAACGTTTTGAAACGTCGTCTGGTCGGTTACGGCAACCGTCTCGCCAACCGCATAACCCAACCGATCAATCGAGAGACTAACTGGTCGTTAGACCAAACGATTCATCTGGTCTTTCCAGACGATTTAATGGTCGCCCCAACCAAACGACTGAACTACTGTTCACTTAATTAGGCGACTAATTAACAGACATTCGCTTGGTCCAAACTCCGTATTGGCCGACTCAATTGATGGCGGACCAACCGACTGCAAACCATCCGATCCGACTGCAGACCATCCGACCACTCACTTTCCGACCGATGACCAACCGACTTGCTTATTCTACTGCGGACCAACCGACCGGATCAACCTACCGCAGACCAACCGACCTGAGTTTGCATATTTTTTTCTTTTTTACCCGACTTCATATCCTAATTTTTTTAAGATCTTGATATTATTATTATTATTATTATTATTATTATTATTATTATTATTTGTGCGTAAAAAAAATAAAAAAAATAAAAAAATAAAAAAAATTGGTAAACAACAAATCCATAGATCTACGTGTGTTTGTTTGGGGGTTTGAATTTTGAGTTGGGATTTGAATAGTAAAAATTTTGAATTTGAATAGTTGTATGATGTGATATAAATAGGTGTTGATGTGATGTTTTGAATGTAAAATTGATTTTTAGTATAATATAAAAAATGAAAAATAGGTGTTTGATTTGATATTTTTTGGGGGGAAAAATTGGATGAATAGTAGAAATCTTATTAAATCCCCAAACAAACGCACAAATTAAACAAACATGAGGGGATCGAATTCGTAAATAATGTCTTGTCACTCATCACGTGGCGCTTTTGATGGGGGCGGTGCGGGTTTGTCGCTCGTCACGTGACTCTGTTATTGGGCAATTGTGGGACAAGATGATTGACTTTGGGGATTGGTCCATTCTAACACTCTGACTTGTCCTGCTCCTAAGCCTACCTTCCTAGGACCAATTAATAACTATTGCAGACTGATTCAATCTGGACCGTTCATCTATTAACACTCCAGAATGAATCGCCACCGTTCATCTACTGGACCCCATTTCAACTGTCTTGGATTCGAGCTCCCGGGAGTCCAAGCTTTTTGAAACTCCAATTTGCAACGGACTAATTTTCTTGCAGTGTCAGCTTTTGCTCAGAGATCCACGTTGGTTTTCGGTCTTCGTATAGTACACACTTTTCAAAATTTTAGGGTTTGTTTCCATTATTCATTTGCTATACTCACTCCGTACATCAAATATTTATCGGTTTCCTTTTTACATATAGATTTTAGTATATTAATATTATATTGATATGTGGTATAATTGATATACACATAAAAACAATTATATTCTTTAATATTTATGATATTAAATTATGTTATTTTATGACATTTGTATAATATTATATAAAGAGTTGAGTAACTTTATATTTTAGTAGAAGATATATTTACTAAAAAAAAAAATGAATACATTTGTGATTGGAGGACTAAAATGACAAAATAGACAGACTGGAGGTGGACGGAGGAGTATAATTATCTAATTTTGGATAAATTAATTAGTGTAAACACAAAAATTTAGATAAAATATAATTAAAAAATTATTAAAAATATATTATTAAAATAATTATGATATAATAAAAATAATTATATGTTAAGATTAATATAATTAAATAATATAATTAAGATTATAAAATTTAAAATATGATTAAAATGTATAATTATATTTTCAAAAATAAAAAAAAATAAATTATATGGAATTGACAAAATGAAAATTTTGGACAATTTATGTGGGACGAAAAAAATATAAAAATACTATTCACTTTGCCCCAATTCAATCGGGTCTTTTGAAGTTTTATAGTACATTAAAAATAATACTTTCTCGTCATTTAATTGTGTGCTCCTTTGACTGGATATGAGATTTCAGAAAAATAGATAAAAATATAAATATTTACTTTTATGGGTAAAAGAAAAAGTAAAGAAAGTGTATTTTTTTAAAAAAGTTTTTTAGAGAAAGTGTATTTTTTTAAAAAAAATGAAACGAGAACAAATTTAAATGATAACCAAAAAATTAAAATGAGAATAAAATTGGATGACGGTGAAAATAATATTTTATTGATTAAGAAAAATATGTAAAATAAATTCACATTATTATTTTTTGACTATATACATAAAAATAATTATATATAATAATATGTTTGTAATTAAAAATTAAAAATATTTTGGTATTAATTAATATAAATAACAAATCCGAAGACTCTCGGAATTTAAAGTTATCTTTTGCTCATAAGATATTTGTTTATATATATTTAAATATTCCTCAAAATAAAAATAATTGCTAGACTTTAATATAAATTATATATATATTGGCAATATCAAATCAAAGTATTATTTTTAATATTTTTATTCATTTTATTTCAATTTTTTTTTTATTTTAGTAAATGTAATTGTATAATTTTGTTCATTGCTTTTAATTTTTTTTACCTAAATTACAAACATACTATATATAGTTAATTTATATATAAAGTCAAAAGGTAAAATTATAAAAAAATATATATATATTTTCTCTAATTAGTAGAATATTATTATATTTTAAATTATTACAAAACTTTAAATAATTTATTGTGACGGAAAAATGTATATATTTTAATTCTTTTTGGTATAATTACACTAT